TACACAATAAGAAATATTTTGAATATCTCGCATGGAATTGCTGCAACCCTCATAACACAGTATGGAACCTGACACGAAGCACTTATGAAGATAGATTCGATATGGGGAGGACTGTTATAAGCTAACATGTGATTGTGACGTAGCTTACCTACCAGATAAACGCATGTCCCGGATGACAGGTATGAGTTTGCCGCTCAGGTGAGATATGTTGGGTGGAGGTGTCAAAACATTTCACGGATTGCTGATTTGAAAACGTCGAAAAGTACGTGCGGGGTCATTTAGTAGGGTTAGAATGTGATGCTACACTATTCGAAACACGTAAAGATTAGCTAAATATAGGCAGAAAATGAGATGGGTAAAGTAACACGAATCACATAGATAAAAGACAAAACATTTGGATCTCCTACTCCAAAGTGTTTGGTTCAGAATGATATCACTGAGAACTCACAAAAAATATCAATTGAACATCTGAAATTTTCAGACGTAAAAAAAATGATATTGTAATTTGAAAAAAAACTGATGCTGAAACATCCCATAAATATATGCATACCTCAACCGGAAGTGAAGGTTTAATATAATAAAAAATGTTGACTTGGCCTTCAAATGAATTGTTATATGCATACTATTGCGTGTTATTGACGTATATAAATGTAACCCTGTCTTGATAGGTTTAAAGTGTATGAATTACGGGTTAATTAACGACGTTTGCGCTAAAAAAGGGCAGCAAGAAAAAAAAACGAAAAACTTTATTTACTATAATGTGTAAGTGTTTTCCTTCTGCAATCCGGAGATCAACTTCATAAATTAAATAAATAAAAGTTGTAGTGCAAGTGTTGAATTTGCGGATTTCACCTGAAGCGAAATGCTTCATTACATTGTTAAAACAAATATGTATGAAAGCATTTCTCATTAAGGACAGATAATAAGTGAGAGGATTTTGGAAACACATTTCGAATCCTTGCCACTCACCACTGGTATATTCCAAATACACCTGGAGGTTTCTTCCAGAATTTGCTAATAGCTTTTGCTTTAAATGTGCAACAGGTAAATATTTTGTGTTGAATAAATATCTTGGACGTTCTTCGAAATGATTTAAATGAAACTTGTTTCAGAATTAAAATCTTAAAATTATTCATAATATTTTACAATTTTGTACCCAAAATTAAAGTACATGTCGTATATCATCGGAATAAGTTTGGGTGTCATTTGTACATAGCATGCGCAGTCTCCAGAACGTCACCTCAAGTCTTCGTGGCTGTATTAGGTATAAACACGTCTATAACGCAAACCAGATGGTATACATTTGTCTCGTGCACCCTAACAGTTTACCCTAAAGTGGTTAAACGTCTTATCGTACATGTACCTGTCGTATATTTAATTGGCCATCTTGTCTTTAGCATGGAAATCTGATGAAAAACAAATGTTCATAATGTTAGGTAAACCGTTAGGAAGCCCTTGTATGTATTAAAATATATCAGTTGTCTAAATCTTCGTTCAATGTCTGTTCAACACATTCTGCCCAAAGGCAAACAAGCTCATTGATATCGACCATTCTATGAGCCATAAGCAGAATATGTTTTTCCTTCATTGGACAAGATGCCTGAAACAATCGGCTTAACATGTGTACAATTTGTTTTTAGTAAATACTATCTAATCCTGAAAATTAGCGTGTAAAATGGAAATATTTGCTACAAAATTTCAAATCTACATTAATATGACTCCTTCAAAGGGAATACGGAATGTACCAACCAACTGCAAAAAGTATTACTTGGACGTCATTGTCTATTTTAAGTTGTATAGGATGATATATTTAATACTTCAGCACATTGCATTTTTATCATTCCTAGCTTAGACTCAATAGTCCATATTTTGCAAATCATAAAAATATCATCGAGACACGAAAATGTTAAACTTTTAGAGTGGTGCGATGTTCCTAGTTGGTGAGATTGATTCTGTCAATAGCAGATGATACTAACTTTACTAACTTTAATAACCCAGACTTAGGAAAATAAAAAGGTACATAAGTATTATGCATTGTATAGTCAGTCGATCTGAACTACGACCGGAAGTTTTATCCGAGGTGATAATCATGGTAAAAATCGACCGAAATCAACATTTAACATCCAATGCAGCAGTACCAAAAATAAAAATAACATAAATAAATATACAACATTTGATATAGAGCCCTATCTAGCTAACATAAGCCACTCTAAAGCGCTTTACAGTATATAGATATACAATTAAATACAATGACTACAATTAGCATATACATTAATCAATACAATATTGAGGGGTTCGCAGGAACTGTCTTATTATGCGCTAACTACTAGTCCTATGCCACCTGGCTAATATCTCCCTATGTGTGTATGCCTGTGTGTGTGTTGGAGATGTATTGTGTTCTGATTGTAGTGGGACCGTAATTCCAACGGTATCATTTATAGTGCCACCTCATTTGAATGCCACAGCACAGATACCGCAACATCCACCCCAGACCATTTTATTCTCCGCCTAGGTTGTTGGGAGTTGTGTGGGCAGGAGAAAAACACTTTCTCTGAATATTCCATGCGCACGACGACTTCGGGGATCGAACCCCGGCCGCCTGCTTGGAAAGCCGGAGTGTTTACCACTCGACCAATCCGCTCATAAAAATGACGATATAACTTTTCTCAAACAATACCAAATGAGTAATAGGGTTTTGTGATGTAAATGCTGTCAACAGTTTTCTGTTAACATAAAACGTAGGAGAAAAAGTAGCAACGTTTTACTGCCATGTCACGAAAATCTGAACATTCCAGTATCACACCATCAAATGGTATCTCGTATGAACGCTTTAATATTAGTTTAACAGAATTGTATCATATAAACCTGATTGTCTCTGTTATATCTTTCATATCAATGAATCTGAGAGAAAAACATAACAACAAAATTAGTACCAGAATCAGATTGTTAACAATACCATAATTTGAACTCTAAATAGGAACAAAGTTTAACTGTGAGACTATTGAAACAGTACGATAAAACCAGATGTTCCAGAAGGGTAAGCGTTTTTCGCTTCAGCGACGACACCAGCCATGTATATATTGCTCAGACCCAAGTCCTGTCACGTCCTCGAGGCGAGAACCGGAGTATGAAAGATTGACTGTACAGACTTAAGGAGACACAAGGATGTCTAAATGAGGTATATTTCGGTCAATCGAAATTATTGCGGAACGATATAAATTTTCACCATCATCGTATAATACGTAACAAAGCTGACAATATTATTATACTAAGAACATTAACTTATGAAAAAAGGGATATCAATTTTGTTCTCCTATCATATAACATTTATTTATCGGCTCTTATTTAAGTTTAAAATACAAACGTACAATAAACCAGTGAAAGTATTTGGTGTTGAATCTATTGACTTGAACTGACATTAATCACGAAAGTGTCGATATTGACGCTGCAACGGACATGATTTGCCACATCTCCAAATCGTCTGAACACATTTGCGGACAATATTTATACTGGAACAGTGTGCAAAGATACTGCACGAGCATGCAATTAATGCACGCACGTGCCACTATCAGATAAAATTACACAACGATTGACCAATAACAACTCTCGTTACAACTTAACACGATTAAAACGTTCAATGTTTTAATGGTTCTCTCTGCACGATAAATTTGCTTAGTGTAGTGATGTATTTGCAGAATACATATAAATTGATATCTAAATTGATTTATATTTTTTATCGTCGATTTTGGTTGGGTTGTCATTTTACTCCAGAAATAACTCTTTACTATATTCGATGTTTGGCCAAAGAATATAAAAAGTGTATGCTTCTGCTTGGTATCGTAAAAGGCGATTAATGTGGGGACCAAAGCTGAATCGAGGGTCTTCGTATCTTTTTGACTGCTTAAAGAACATTGAAGAACGAAACATTGATCTTCTGCCGTCAATGTAACACATGGGATCTATATGTTTCCTTATCTTACTTTCCTTCTCTGTCTTTGTGTCTCAATTGGTGCCCTTCTTCATTTGACCTTGGCTGTTTCGAGGACGTTAAACCAAAAATGAACAAACAAACTTTACATTTCTGTAAAGATAAACGTTGGCAATCCAGACCAAACATGTTGATTTCCTGATAACCGAATTATCCAAACAAATACATCAGGACGATAATTTAGTTTAAAATCAAGCTTTTATGGACAAGAGGCCAAATTCAATACCGAATCAAAATGTTTTAATATTTAAGACATGAAACAAATTTTTTAATTCGATCATGAATTTGTTTTAAAAAAATTGAGAAAAAAATGAAGAGTGAAAACAGACTAGTCAGATCTTCGTGTCTTTATGTTGACTTGAGCTAGACCATGTGATCAATACAAGTTAAACCTGCTAAGTCCATAGACAAACAAAATTATCATAAAGACTCAAATCAAGGCCTTGGTGAAAATAGTACGGTTATAAGTATTAACTCATGAATTAAACAACTAGAAACATACTTTGTCGGTCTGAAGGTAGTGACTGTTGATGGCTTAACGCATTGCCGTATTACATTGTCGCCTGTGACGTCATGATGCTGTTCCGTCTAACAGGTTTGTATAGTTTTGAAATATAAGACTGAGACAAGTGTTTAATGGAGTTTCTGTATTTTATTTCACATTGGTATTTATACATACATTGTACACAATAATAATGAAAATAAGAAATAATAAAAAATATCACAGACTGTTCTCTTGTTCTCTCAGAGTTTCTCATCTAGAAAACGTAACATGTATAAACACACACCTCTCTCTCTCTCTCTCTCTCTCTCTCTCTTTAGTCCTCCATTCATCTCTCTCTCTAGTCTATACCGTATTAATCTAGCAAGTCTTGGATAAACCGGGCCACTGTCAAGGGTGTAATAAAGAATCTGAATCTGGAATCTGAATCTGTATCGGTGTCATCTAGTAACGAGTATACGCCACGGTGTATGTGACTGACACACAAAATTCTTAACATCATGTTTTTTCTGTATGATATTCAGAGCTTTCGTTTAATCGAAAATTTCATTTTAGCGTTGTTTCATTGAAAGCGGATTTACTTTCGTTTGTAATAACAGTTCCTTTGTTTAGGTAGTGTCGAATTCACAGCAAAAAAATGAGAAATTTAAAAAGATTTTTTTTCTTTAGCAAAAAGTATGTTTGAACTTCCGAATGTTGTCTGCTCAATTACCTCCGTTGAATTATTATTTATTTTATTAGCGCTTGTAAACGATATAGTTCTTTTGAAAGCCACCAAAAAGACCAAACAATGAAATACAGCTCTTGATATAAACGTTTCTCAATGAGAGACTTCAATAATATCTTTATCAATTTTATTTCGGGTTCGTTTCGTTAGAAGCGGGTACAATTTGAAATATTTAGCAACCCAAATTTCAAGCGAAGTCAAACATAGTAAAAGATCCGTTGCAACCTCGTGCATGACGTAGTGCAAAAAAATAATCAAATGGCTATGCTAAAATATCAATCCTTTGTTTCTACCACCGGGACTTGGTGTCTTGTGTGAATATTGTCAAGTCATTAGTATATATCATACAGATCTCTACATGCCTCGAGACACCTTTTTCTTAAAAAAAAAAAGTATAAATGTATTAAAAAGAACTTTTAAAGTAAACATTTTAGTATTGTTGAATTCAAACTGATTAAACAACTTTGGACATCCGGATCGTTACAAGGCCAATTGCCATCATGCTTGATTGAGGGGATCTGTCAATTTTAGCGGAGCAATGATTGATTACACCACGGAGCGGACCTAACACTCCAGGCAAGAAACCGGGCCGGCGCTTTAAAGTCCAGTCGGGTAGAGGTATTACCGCTCATACCAATGGCGACGTATCTGGAATAGTTTTGAAAGCGGTGATCTGTTTACAGAGATGATAATAGCACAGAAACGCCATGCTCGATACATGTCCGACATTTAACTACTGTTGAATCGCTAGTTCGACTGACTGAATACAGTAAACCCTCGATATAATGCCCTTCGTTTTATTTTCCATCAAAACGACTAAAAATATATCTCAAGTCAACATTTTTCTTTTTTCTTGGCAATTCTCTTTTATGAATCTTCATCACTTAGTCAATATTTCGCCAAACAACTTGACAACGCCGAAATTTCGCTGTACAAACGATGTCATTATATCGAGGTTTTACTGTAACAGAATTCCTTCACAAAGTTTGTCTTCGCAGAAGACAATACATAACCACATGCTTACAATATTTATATCTCCTTCTCTCTATCATGAATTCTTTCAAAAATGAAAATATCAGTTTTCATTTCGATGAAAAACTACGATCATAATAAGTTTATATATGGATTTACATTCGACTAGACTCCCTAAGTAGCACAAATTGTCCACAGTGTTCATTGTTCGATGATCCGAATCCAAAAGAATTGTCGCCATTGACAACATCATGACGACATCACTATTCTTCGGTAAAAGTCGTCAACATAACACAAGACAACGATTCTTCGGCAAATTCAACAAGAGTCATTCAAAACAAAGTCATTCAATAATAAAGTTAAGATCCTGAAACAACTCCCCACTATGTATTACGTCTCTTCGTCCTTGATACAGGAGACCGTCGAGTGGTTGTAGAGGCCCTGTGCCATCAGGCTGAGAGCGAGAGTGTTTCTGGGTGCCGCCGATTTTTTTATCTTTGCTCGCTTGTTCTGGAACCAAATTTTAATTTGAGCTTCTGTCAGGTTGAGCTCCTGCGCGAGATCCAGTCGCCTCTGCTCCGTCAGATACCGGCATTCTTCAAATTCGCGCTTCAGTCGTTGTAATTGGTCGTTCGTAAAGGCCGTTCGGGGTCTCTTTTCATCTACCGTCTTTTCCTTGCTCTTCCGAATTTTTCTCGATCTTGGTCCTGTAATGTAAATGACAGAAATAGTTATTGGTGATTAATTATATAATAATGTAAGTAAGAATGTTTCGTTTTACACTAGCATCTCTGTGTACATGAACATCCCGACATCTCTATACAGACTGGAACGGTAGTCAAGCTTTGTGCGCCTGAACTAATTATACGGTATAATAGTCACAGTTTTGAATTAGAAATAGATTTTAAAAATAAGTTTAAAGCTCATGGAAATAATACACATAACTATAGAAAATCAATTTCTGCATGGAAAACTGTTATCAGACAGTCATGTGAAATATCGGCCAGTCACTTGATATAGTTCGTATTTAATTAAAAGAACGTAATTAATCTCAAAAATATCTTTCATGGCATTTTTTTCCTTTTGCGGAGGGAAGTGTTTAAGTTTTTAGGAAAATGGTTCTTTCATTTCATTGTATTTTTGTCGTGTTTTGGTTTTTCCTCCACTAACATAAACGATTTATGTTCTGTATGATATCACATCAGTATATGGTCCCTACTGAATCACTCTGATGTACTTATATGGATAGTATTGTACACGTATTGTATAATTTTGGAAAAAGAATTATGGAAATTATGATTATACTTCTTATGATATTATGCAAATGAGACATGTATAAACATTTTATTATGGTAACCCTGTCAAACGTCCCCAATCAATGTACCATTTAATTAAGTCAGGACGTATGACCCCTATGTACATAAGAATTATAAAACCTTTAATTAAAACATGACGTGTGCCCCTAGTGTAATATATATATCAAGGAAGACCCTTTAATTAAATAATGTATAAGAAACAGTTTCTATTCAATTCAGTTATCGATTATTGAACATGTCACAAAGCGACACTCTTCGATCTAAATTGTCAACCACTTGCCAACCTCTACAAGACAAGAAAGCTATTTATTTGTCACGGTCAGAGAAAATCCGGAACATAGGCAATTATTTGGTATTTTATTGGATCATTTGATGGCTTCCAATAGGCCGTGGCCTTCTGGCCTGTAGCTTAGCTATTATACAAGTGTAATTGATTGAGGTACCCCTATAAATAAACTAATTAGTTATCTATCAGACTCGTTACAACGCTAAATCAATTATGCTTAGATCGTGTCTTTCATTAGCGCGTTGACAACTCAAGAGAGTTAATCTATTTTATTGTCCGGTTGACGGATACGGCCCGATCCGGACTTACTATTCCATTGGGTAACATCCATAATGAGTCTGGGAAGATGTACATGTCAGTCAGAAAATGGCAGCCACCTACCCACATAATCTAGAACAGGATTTATAATTAAATGGGCTAACCTTTCTGGTCATATCGACTTTTCCATTTAAATTGATCGTTGTTATACGATTTTAAACATTACGTAATTTTTTGTTGGAATTTTGTATTTCTGTTTAAGTTTAAAATATAATACAAGAATTATAATAATTTGATTAATCTATTTAAAACTAAAAAAAAAATATTATTTTATTCATCTATTTTTTGCACTCTAAAATTTCTAAAACAGAACTGTGTGCGACTTGTCTATTTTTTTCTTTGAAAATATTGTATAAATTTGTATATGATCTTGCACTGCCATAGCCTTTTCAAGCCCATCTTTCATATAGAGACGTCCCCAGCAATTCAAGTTATGATGCCTATATTTATACATTACACAAAAAAACGACAAATCGCTCCAGATAATTCTTCCCGTTCACAGAATGTACGCGTCGATAATTGTGATATAATAGAAGTAATTCAACTACAAATCTAAATGGTCTGTATTTTTTCACAGATTTCACCACCAATTTCCTGTCATCATTGTGTTTATTATAAAAAGTCAAAGTGTGCGATCTATAATTATTTAATACAGTTCTTAATGTATCCATCAATAATGTTTCTAGGTTGACAAATTCGGATAATTTCGTAAAAAGAAAACTTTAAGTACAAGATATTAAGCGTTCACTTTTATTGTGGGCCGGCACGCTTTTATATCGTGTTCTGTCGCCTTTACCAAATTATCGTTTAAATATTTGATATTCGGAGGTAAATACGTGAAAATTACCTGCTTAACTTAAAGAAATCAAAAACTGTTGATAATTTAATTACAAGTTGCCGCCCCATTGAATATCTTAGACACTTCAACTAAGTCCGTTTACCACAAAATGCAATGATTTTTTTTTTAACTTTCATGTTAAAGTGTTTATTTCTGAAAAACACCCCTTAAATTTGTCTTTGATTTCGAAATATACAGGAAACAATTATTTAACATGTTAGAAATTATTCTTTAATCAATAAAGATGAAATGGTTTTCATTTTGGATAGTTTATATACCTGGTTTGGTTTAATTTTGTTTAACGTCCTATTAACAGCTAATGTCATTTAAGGATGTTAATATACCTAGTGTATACTATTTATTGCATAGATAACATCATTATTTATCTCAATGGAACAAAAAATTAACTGCAAAAGTATGACATCAAATAAATCAGTATCCCTTTTAAAGTACGTTCAATGCAACTTAACTTATATCACATGTAAATGATGTGAATGCACTTTATCTACATAGCCGAAAACGACTGGTGTTAATAATAAGATTTGTTTACTTAAAATATACTTAATTTGCTGTACAGAACGGATGGGACACAAGATTATCTGAGTAATTTTCCCCTCCTTTGATAATAAATTCATATTTTTTACAAATGATCAAGAAATAACTACAGAAATTTCACTTTCGTTGTGAGAGTAAAAGTGATGCATACGAAGAAAAGAAGGAAGGAAGAAGGAAGAAGATAAATACCCAATCTAAATTGACATACAGTAGTTATGAAATTATTCCTATCGCTCTATCCTATAGCTGGGTCCAGAAAATAACACAAGCAAGATATGTATAACATAACCAAGCAGTACTGCGTTATAGTGCATCTTATAAAATATCAACTTTGTGAATTTTATAAATTCCTAACGAGGCAGTTTGTTATTTAGAAGAAAAAATTAATAAAGAAGAAAAACAAGAATTATGTTTAAATATATTCTCACTATTTACCTAACGGATAAATGTTTGATAATCAAATTAGTGTGTACATAAGATATGTTTTGTACATATGTCATACCAGAAATGTTTTTATCAATAAACAAATACTTAATAAACATGGTCTCGTGTTCGTTACACTCTTTCTAATCAAAACACAAAAGGAAGCGGCGAACGGTGATTACAGCATCATAATGTGTTGACAAATTAATTTTAATTATCAAAACGTGTCATTACATTCACGTAACTGTACAATATACCACTGAAAACATGTTTTCAAAGAATAAAGCTGAATAACATTTTAGCTGCAATACCAGCCATCTTTATAAACTACAGAAACAGCAGGTATCGTTTGACACGGATAATTATTATCATCATGTAATATTTCTTATGATTAGGAAATTGAGAAAAAGATTTAATTACTAGACTTAATACCAAACGAAAATGAGGGGAGATAAATATTGAGATTTGTATTTACATACCTACACAGGTCAGGTGAATCAATCACTAATTTATCTACCAAGTAATTAAGACGATATTTACCTGATGAGGGTCGGTCCGAATATCGGGTACAATACACCCAGGCAGGCCACAGGGAAGGACGAGACTCGCTGTCCGGGGATTTGGGGGGTTGGCCAGAACTCTCCGGGGAGGACGGGACACTTCCACAGGAACGAGGAGAAGATGACGATGAAGATATTGACGATGAGGCGGAAGAACACCTCGGAAGAAGCTTTTCCTGGTGACGGACAGGTGTAAATGCGGAAAACGCTGACGACATGTTTATGTCAAGTGTCTTTTTCACTCCAAAGTCTGGTTTGAGGATTTCTTCGATAGAAAAGTTTGTCACTCTCAACACATTAGATTCCATGTCAACGTTAACATTGTCAGTATCGTCGTCGCTGCTAGTTCCCTCCATATCGGTCTCCCGTTTAACATCCGGAGAATGATCACGGGATTCCATCTTAATTTTATCATGAAAAAATAGAAGCACCATTCTTGTTATAAGCTGTTAAACGTCCAGATAAAAACAATATTTATAAATGTCCTATTAATATCGGACACGTTTCGGTATTCCTCTCAGATTGACAAGGTATAAACAACACCGTACTCTCGACCACTTTATGGCAACATGGGTTTTGAAACTTGATCAAATTTTTCTCATCTTTTCTATGTTCCGAGGTGTTGTGGGCGGGGCTTACTTGAATAAGATCGATTTACGGGTCGGCCAATCAGAAGCGTCGAAGTGAGAAAGCCATCAAATCGGCCCGGAAGGCGTATGATAGCGTGGCATTTTCACTACCCAGCGCCCGGCGTGGGGTGTAATTTTATAGCATAATTTTAAAGAGGGTAAAAATAACATTTCTTAACTTTACGAAGCGATTGCGGTATAATTAAGCTACGCTTGAGAAAAAAAGAACACATGTTGAAATAAACTCAATACCAAAAATCGAAAATGATAATGTTACGTTTAGTATATATGAACAAGAACTAAAAACATCGTATTACTTTAAGGACTGATATATGAATGCATGTTGATTTGGGGCTTAAGATTTTTTCATTTTCTTTGATGAATTTAGCATTGGAAAAAAAAAAAAGTTTTCCTTAATGTATTTCAGTTTTTCTCAGACTGCGTTTTTTGTGTTATTTTGGTTGTTTGTTTTCTTCAATTTGGACGGTGCCCACGTAGAGAACATATATCATAACAGTACCTAAAAATTACACATGTGTACGTCGTTTATGACAAAACAAATTTATTGACAAAAACTAAAATTATCAAATAACAATTAGCTTATAATGAAACAAGATATATCTTAAATAATAATACATGTTACACAAGGTGATGGGAAAGGAGTAGCAGCGCGTGCTTTAGCTGGGTGTGAAGTCAGGGTTTGAGTAGGAGAGAATATCCATGTAAAATAATTTAAAAAATAATTTCATCATTATTCAGTCATGGGTTACCTCAGAAACGTGCTAGCTAAACTCCATCTACCTTATGTGTGGCGTCCATTTACAATTTTAGTATGCGTTGTCAATTTTAGTATGCGTTGTGAGTAATGTTTTGTTTTTAATAAAATAATCTAAAAATATACAAAGAAATAAACAATGAAATCGATTTTAAAATAGCAGTTATCACTGAGGAATGATGTGCGGATGGCACATGGCTAACAAAAATCGACAAAGCCAATTAACGTGAGGACCCTATAATGCATGAATGTTTCTGATTAGTCAGAAAAAACCCCAGATATATTTCACAATTGTAAGGAAATTCGCCTCGGCCATAATCCATGTTCCAGGATTTTAAAAACAACAGTGTGAACCTCATATATGTTTAATTATTATGAGCATAAAAGTTAATTCCATAATGCGTCATATCATTTATTAAAAAATATATCTAATGTGAAATGTAAGATTTTGATCCGTGTTGAAATTAATCCAATTTCCCAGCCATGCAATTGTATTCCCATTTATATTAATACATTTAATAATATTCAGGGAGAAATAATGTATTCTATTGTGAAATTTTGATTTAAATATTGACACTCTCTGTTGTTTATGATCATTCCTCGCCTCATGAAATGAGTATAAATATAATTTCTCTGAAAGGTCGCTAATTCCAAAATTATATTCATTAAGGGACGCAACATCTGAAATATTTGTAATGTCTTATTTATTATATGCAATGCGCGCAGTTATTTTCTCAATTATTGTCTGGTGATCTATCTCAAATACAATATTACATTTGTCATAAATTCGTTAGCTATAGAATTTGCTAATGACAGTATTAATATTAAATTCCTCTCGTAACTTGTTAAGTTAATAAACCAATCTATAGGAACTACCACGGACTTAGATAGCATCTAATCTAATTCCCTGGAACTACATATTGATGAAAACTTTTCATTTACGAAACAGTAATTTGAATATTATAAGGTACCTACCATTAACGCTATAACGTTCTTCCCTAACCGTACCGGGTACAATGTTAATATTTAGTACCGAGACAGGGCCACAATTTCCGGCAAACACTTTCAATCTACCCAAAGCTGATTTTGAATTTCAGTCAAATGTAGGCGAGATTAGGTTTGAGCTTAGCTTAAGACAGGTCGAATCCGAGTGCGAGTTTAAGTCTCTTTGTTAAATCTATAGGAGAGTTTAAGATTCAGCTCAGCTAAAGGCAGTCTAAATCTTAGTTTGATCAAAGTTAATTTAAAGTTTGTGTCACCTTGCCATGACAATACTGAAGATTGGTTTTATAGGAAAATATTTTGACAACTAAATTTAATTTTCAGACATAGCGGTAATTATTTTTTATTTCTAGACTGTTTCATCAATCAAGTAACATAACCCGTACGCTACTGAAACGGAAGTTTTGGGTGAGTTGTAATAGTAAAAAACACATCGACCCCGGGTGTAAGTGTCTGGAAGATAGGAAGCATCGTGGCGTTAAAGGTACAAATGAAACATGCATACATATTAAATATTCTGACATCGTACATATATTGTATACGGTATTTTTTTATATTTATTTTATCATATAGATTGTAAAGTTATACGTAATATTATATGCAAATGAATAAAATTTCAATACTAATATTAGATATTTTAAGAATATCAAACTAATCTATACGACGTAGGACTATAGTGATGAGGAGATAAATTCCGGACAGAGAACAGAACAGATATAACCATAATCAATACTAGCTGTATGTAGTTTTTCTAATTACACACATAAAAGGCTCTTATCGCAGTCCAGGTCAAAGGTCAAGAAATTATGTACGTTGAATCATTTAAAAATTAGGTGTGAATCACATGTGTATGTCTCACTTACATCTTTCACAATGTAAAAATAATATCGGATGCAGATTACGGGATTAATAGAATTAATATCTACTAATATAAATCATAATTTGCGTTATCATTAAATTCTAAATTGTTAATTTTTGGTTTTATTTATAAAACATACCAGGTATAGTAATATAACACACATAATGGCAAAAAAACCGAGTGTCATTTACTACCAATGAAACGGCAGAGATTTACCATAAGATTAGAGATACATAATTATTACACCTCGGCGGAAGGCGACATTAAAGGTGCACTTTGCTGGGTCCGGCGCAATGATACGAAACCCGGAGAAGATGTCTAGAATTACAGTTAAAAACTAGCCGACATACTATAGTAAAGGAGAAACGAAAATATTAAAAATATCTTTACTTAAAAGCAAGGTTACATATACGACTGTGAAAACATGACATTTTGGTGTCTACGGAGCAGTTCATGTTGCTGTGATTTTGTATTAAATTTAAATTCATTCTTTATCTTATACTGATGGATACTTATTTTGGTTTACTTCTTTTTAATTTAGATTTTAAGGTAAATAAATAAAGCCATGTCGTCAGTGTCACGTTTGGTAATTTCCTCCTCATTTCAGCCCCGCCCTCCCAAAATTGTTTGGTCCGTGGTCTGCACCTCTCCCAAACCATATCCATATCCATTCTCTCTCATTTCGACCTTGCAGGCTCTCTATGCCTAAGTCCTTCAATTAAGCCTCTCTCCACCCCCNCTTACATCATAGGCACATCCATTGTTTCTATGTTCATCCTTCACCTGGCACTCTAATATATTCCTTGCATGTGTCCATTCTTCCTTCCCCTTGTCCTCGATACTCCAGGGGTTACGCTCATTTACGTTCCTTAATCATCGCCCTCCCCGTCCGGACCCCTCCCAAAATCATCAAACAGATCCTCTGCTAACACTTACGAAAACCTTGTGCCAATTGCGTATTTTATGTTTGCATTAAAGTTTTAATTTAAGATTAATGTCCTCTTCATTGCTCAGGATATCAAATAACGTGAATTATCTAAGTGATATGTTTCTAATCGACATTGTGAAATTTTAAACTGTTTGAAAGACAATATTATAAAGAAGTGTATCAACTTGTTAAACAATGACTTTAAAAGCCACATTAGATGTACTGCTATTTGTGTATTTATGTGTAATAAAATGTAAGAATTTAAATAAATGCGAATGGAAATGGACGGAATTTAAAATGTTAAGTGTTGGGTTTGAGATGGAGATCAAACAATGTTGATTGACTCCACTAGGTAAACAATAAAACACGACAGGCATACGTAATACCTGTGTGTCGTGTACTTTACCAAAGACTGACCTTGACCTTGACCTTACAGAATTTCTAAAAGTGCTTCAGCCATCTACGTTTATTGGTGTCAGTAAATAAGCGAATCTCAAGAATCGTTCTTAAACGAGAGCAAAAGAGTTCCAATAGTGAAATTTAAATATGTAAATGAGGTAGATGATAGTTTTGAGAACCCGAATCAGTTTCAGAGAAAGAAAAATTCCTGATTTGAACTATATGATTTTATCACATGACCACTGTATCATATAGTGAAGGCAACCGTGTCATATTGTTGTTAATTAAGGCAATAATATTTGTACATGACGTCATGACGTCAAATTCAGGGCAATATATCTAGATATGGCGTCAAAATGGCGGCATGGAAAACTTAATAATCACCAGATTTGTTTCCCGAATTTTAACATCCATTCTGAAAAATGTGATAAAATGCTTTCAATTTTTTGTTTCTATTTTATACAGGAAATATGAAAATCGCTTGGAAATATTCTGTGTTTCGGCTTGGAAAAGCTTCGCTAATATATGTTTTTTGAAATTTTATATCTCTGACTTTATAGAGCCCTAAAAACGGGCAATTAACACAGCAATTCCACACAAAATCACACGGTAGAAATTGAGTAAACGACAGATGTGCCGAAAGACAGGGAAGTAGAAGTTCCAGAAGAATGACAGAACGGGGGAAGGAGGAGTCATCAGCGGTAAAGTCTCATTTCGTATCATGAAAAATATATAATAATTTGAATTGTTTAAATTCCATGATGGTGGTTTTTTTTTTATCAAATTCACGAAATTAAATTTGCTGACCACGTGGAGTGCTTACAGGAACTATTAACGTTGTATATGACCTTCAGCAATGACTCGATGACCTTGCCATTGCTGTCACCACAACGCCAAGCATATTTCTGGCACGTTCCCGCCCCATGGTAACTCTAATCAGGAACATAATATCCATTACGATTTTATCTTCTG